TCCCTCTTGCTCAATCAATGCAGGTAAAACCGTTACGAACAGCTTGGAACTAGGCAAAGCCGCAAATCGAATACAGCAGAAAGCACGTGCCTAGCGCGCTCTCGCTCTCGCTTGCACTTTTTCTCCCCCTCTTCGTTTGGTGAATGAAAACGTAGACAGGCAGGCAGAGCACAGAAAGGGAGAGAGAGAGAAAGAGAGAGAGAGAGAGGGCATTCGAAAAGGGATAATGTGCGTGCCATTCAAATGCTGCTGTTACCGTTGTCCTTGCTGTCAAGTCTTTGTTATTTCAGAGATCGATGGAAAGTCAACAATTGACAGTTATGAAAACAGATGACGATAATGATGATTCGATTGTTGTGCTTCTTCTTCTTCTTCTTCATCTCGTCATCTCGTTGTTGTTATTGGGATATTCTCAATGTCAGGGCACGCGTCCAAGCCGCCTTTGCAGGCCACGTTAAGCCTTTAGCCGAGCGTTGAACCTAAGCTGCAATAGCAACTGGAAGTCAAGTAAACAGTTTCACATCACAAAACAGAATCTTCCCACACTCGCCGCATGCACTTGACTGTCCCACCCGATCGACACCCTATCCCCACACCCACCCCCATCCCCACCCCCTCCTATTTCCCAGGCATGTGTATTAGAAACAAAAATTTGACATTTGCCTGCACTTAACTGTCACATAAAGTGTTAAATGAAATGAGCAGAAGCAGCCACAAAAACGCGCCGACTGCAGCAACACTTGAGATTGAGAGCGACCCCAATTGCAAACCACCAAGCAGCAGCAGCACCACCAACACCACACTCACACACACACACACACACACACACACATAGTACTCACCACTGGCAACACCATTTAGAACGCCAAGTATTTATGCTGTCATTACATTTCGGCTCGGTTCGGTTTCGGGTTTTTTGATACCCTAGACACTAAAGTTGATAGAGGGGTATTTCGAAGTACTGTGAATCTATATAACAGAGAGATTTAGGGAAGAGATGGTATATATCTTAAACATCAACTAAAAGTCAGTTACATAAATTTGATATATGGATTCTTATAAACCCAAAAAAAACGTATCGAATACGATCTACGGAGATAAGTTTAAACTAGGCAAATAGGGTATACATACGTATATTAAAGCATGTTTTTAAATCAACTCTTATAATAAATACAATAGTTATCCCAAAACGAGTTCCCCACGAATCTTTCTTTACAACAGAGTAATACAGAGCATCTGGCAGTCGATCAGCCCCGACTAGACCCAACTGACTTTTGTTTTTTTGGTAAAATGCCGCGCTAAAGTTTACTGCTAATTAAAAATTGTAGAAACGAGAAACATGCATGCAATTCAATACCCAGAAACCCAACCGCCCGCAATTGAAAATGTTAAGATGAAGATATCCATATATGTATATATATATACCATATATATTCACATATATATATATGTGTATAGAGGACCCGCCTTGTAGTCGTAATGTGTGAAAAACCGCTGCGCCCTTATGCTGGGGTCACCTCTTGAAAGGATTGGAATTGTTTTCCCACCGAATTTGATCGAAGCCCCTGCGCCCCTGCCGCTTGGTCGGAGCGGGGGGGGGGGTTGGAGTGCTGCTCACTTTTAGGTTATCCGTAATTATAAAGTGAAATAAATTGATTGCTTAACGGCAAAGTTAATGACAGCTATCGTCGGCTTCCTTCCTCTGCGCCGTCGATGACGTCAGCGACAGCATCTGAAACGGCGAGAACGGCGCGAAGTACTCGCATTTATCGCACTTTTATGTGGGACCCGCAGCAGCAGCGGCAGCGAAGGCAGCAGCAGCGACGGCAGCAGATGACGGCGCGACGTTTGGCACGGCGTGAAACTGCAATTGCAATTGCATTGGGCAAACATCGATCGACAAATCCAATTTAAATTAAGAACACTCAACATGTAGGTACCCCAAACAAAGTGGGTCGACTGCGCACTCATATTCTCACGGTGCGAGTGCCCACCGGGCAGTGGGAGTGCCGCTGCGCCTGGGAAGAACTAATGTTCAAGCTGATGCGGGATAGCCTCAATAAAGTAAACCACCAAATACATATAATATATGTATAACATATATATATGTATATATGTGTAAGTGCTATCCGGCTAGGTACTATACATATTATTAATAAGGGCAGCCGTTATTCAATTTTAATAAGATATCAACTAGCGTTTGCGGGATTTACTTGGTCACTGGGCGCAAGTAAAACCCCCCATTCAGATACGGGGCTTATTATTGACTCATTGAATTTGTTAAGAAGCGTGTTCTTTTTTATTGACATTCAGCATTTTCTTAAAATAAATAATTGATTAATTTTTTTCTTTATTAATATGATTTTTAGAATATTTTTTATATTTGTATATACACATTTTTTAAATGAATAATTTTGCAAACATTGACCAAAGGCGCCAAGAAACTCTTAAAGTGTTTCCTAACCTGTCTTATAAAGGGTTTTGAAGATTTTTTCAAATCATCCCTTAATTATTATTTATTCTTAAGCTTCAGAATATATAAAATATATAAAATAGATGTATATATATACTATTTTTAAGGACTACTCCACAGAATTAAAGCTTAAATATCTATGCACAAATAACTCGTAATTCTATAAAATAGCTTCAGAAACTTTATATTGAAGAATTTACTATTATTATTAAGAATTACTATCACTTATTGAAAAGAAAAACAAGACAAAACAAAGCCAAATAAATGTTATTAATCAAGTGACAGAACTTTAAGCAATCTTTTTTTATTTTATATGTTTTTATTTTCATATGTTTTTAAAATATTTTTATTCCTTTTGCGAGCAATGCGTTGTAATAACTATTTAATAAGAAATTTATTTCATTATTTTCATTTCATTGCTTTACGTTTTACGATTTACGGTAAAAGCCATATTCCGTTCGCATTCAATGGCCGCCTACAGCGGCCGGCAGCCAATGAGGCGGCAACAGGTGAAATGCGACCAATGCCAAATGAGCAGCGCACACCTAGCGAGAAGCAAACACCTCGCTCATTAGCGCACCCACGCGAGCACACACATACACTCACACGCAGTAAAGAGCGAAAACTAATTAACATACAAAATGAATGCGGTGGGAGAAATAACAACAACAACATATAACAAAAAAACCGCTAAACGCCGTTCGCTTTGCTCATTCTCGCGCTCTTGGCGTCAACGGCAAAGTCAGCGTCAGCGTCGTCGTTGGCGTCAAGTGAGAAAATTATTGAAGCTCCACCTTTTTACACGCACACAGACACACTTACACACACATACCCACTAAAAAGCAGCATCGAGTGAGAAATGCACATGTGTGTGTAATTTTTTGTTTTTTGGGAGCGAGGAGAACACATGTTAACCGCATTAAAAATTAATGTACAAATTGTTTATTATGTTGTTGAGTTTGCTTTTTCGCCGTCGGGCCCACACACACGCACACATACATACATATGTGTAAAAGTGTCTGTGTGTGTGTTTGTTGGGCTTTGATGACTTTTGACTACGCAATCATTGCAAGAGTTTCAGGATTTTTTTTTGTGTGTGCGTTTTTTTTTTTTAATTTATATTTTGCCTTTGATTTCTTTGGACGGCTTCAACTTGTTGATTGAGAGTCGAAAACAATATTTTTTCCCATTTGGAGCATTTCTTTTGAATTTGTTGCCCAAGTGTTGTTGTTGTTGTTATTTTTATTGGCCGTTTGCATGGCTGATGTGCGTGATGGACATTCTCAAGAACTTTTGCTTCTTGTCAACGTCAACAAAATGTCAAATGTGTTGCAATCTCAGGCGAAAAGTGGCCGCAGCATGATATTTTTAAGCTGGAAATTCTAACACACAAACTTGCACATAAAATAAGCCTCAAGCACGCAGAGAAAATGCTAAGTGCAAATGATTTTCGCTTTATTGATGGGTAAAATATGGCAGATTTCTTAAGAAATTTAAATTTTTGTGTATTTTACAATCTACGTAAAATGCAATTAAAAAATTGAAATTGAATCTTTATTGTTTACATTTATTTAAAATTTATCACACATTTCCATTCCATTTGCCATTTTAGTAAATGCAATCATATCTATGAGACTAACAGTCTAACGTTTCGCCTTTACGTCAAAGGCAATATCGTAATGTTAGCAGCATGTTAACAACAGCGGCGCTTTAACAGCATACGATAAAGCGTCAGCCCCAGTCTATAACAGAAACATAACAGAGCGCTCTCTCCAATTGGCCGCAGCACCACCAGCACACACACACACGCGCGTGCACAGGCAGGAGGTGGGGGCGTACGTTTGTCGACGCTGCCGCGCCAGCATATCACCTCGGCAGCGCTGCCACCCCGCACACAGACAAAGACACACACTATCAACAAACGGTGCACCGTTACACGTTGCCGTTCTGCTATATGCCCGCTGCCTGTTATTGGTGTATGGGTGTTACACACACACACACACACACACACACACACATACGCACGCAAGCTACCACATAACAAATGTGCTCGGCGCTCTCGTGCTCAGCTGCGCTCTCGGGCGTTCACTCTGTGCCTCTGTGCCTTTTGTCGTGCCGAGCACAAATATAGTGAAGCACCCTCACACACATGCACAGAGATGCTGTCGCTGATACTGAAGCAGTGACTGAGGCTGCTCAACGTAGAAAACAGAAATCAACAGAAACCGTTAGTTGAATTCTAGACGTCGCGTCGGCCGCACACGCGCTGCTCCCCCACAGCGCTAAGAAGCCAACGCATTGAAAAACAATTGTAGAAATCGCCGAGTCGAAAAAGTATCTGTCAGATACACGCAACGACGCGCAGTGTGCTCCAACTTCAAGAATAAAGTAACAAAAAAGAAAACGCGCCAAGTGCAAAATGTTGTAAATTCAAATATTCATAAAATGAGAAATTAACAAAAAATATTCAAGAAAATAATTAAGAAACTAGCCAGCCCAATGGCCGCTACACGTGTGTGCTTAACAAATCTCTAACCGATCCAAGATCCGAAACACTTTAAGCAAGCCCCACAGAACCCAACCAAAGTCAATCAATCCAAGAAAACACTTGTGAAATCCATTGAACAAGGAAAGTGTCGTACGCAACAAAAAAAGCATTCCAATGTTGTCCTGTTTGGCGCCATCGTCTACTCGTTTTGGCCAAGAGGATAACATTATACAGCAGAGCATGCCATCATCCACAGCCTTCTCCATGCAGTGTAAGTCAGCCAATTCCAGAGATCAAGCACTTTTCAGATCCAGCGATGAGTCAGCTCGCATTCAATTGTCTAGAAATTCACTTTGCATTATCAGCGCAATGCAATTGAACCTTGTGTGTGTGTTGCTCTGTGTGTGTGCGTTGGTGTGTGTCTCACTATGTGTGTCCAATTCATTCAACTTTTGCAAAGCGCGCCAAAAGCTAAACAAATCTTTTTCAAGCTTCGCTCATTGTCAATGTCAACAGTTCCGCAGAAACGCCGCCATTTTCAACGGCTGTGTGGTCCCCAACGATCCACCAAATACAAATTCACCTTAAACGAGAAAACAACACAGCAAAAAATATCAGTAAATAACAATAAAACAAACACACATACACAGACACACACAGAATGTACTTGGCATCGGATTTCCATTTTCATTACCTCCTACGCAAAGCAGCTCAAGCGCTGAGCCCCTTCCCCCTCCCGATCGACGCTCTTTGAATTCAGCGACCACAAGCTGCGCACTGGCTATGCAGGCGCTGTTTAATCACCTCCAGCTACAGTTTTGAAAATAAACACCTCTGAGGTATACACATGCACACACACACACACACACACACAGGCACAGCCATACTCACGAGTAACCAGAAAAAAGGGTCCTAAACGTAAAGAACCCCAAGATCAGCTTGCTATGAAGAATTCGAAATACCCTTATGGATTATTATTTTTAGCAAGTTACAGTGAACATTTTTAATATTATTCCACTTTTTAAAGGGCAGCTAGCAAATGTATATATTTTTATTAATATTTTTAATGCAATTAAAATTATTTTTCATATTATTATCATTATTATTATTAATATTCTTATTATTAAAAGTATTATCATTATAATAATTATTATTATTCATATTATTATTATTACTATTTTTACAACTATTATTAATATTACTAATATTACTATTACTATTATTGTCATTATTATTATTGCTGAAGGTTTTGTCATTATTAATATTATTAACATTTTTATTCGTTCAAAGTAAAAGCATAAAAGAAAAAAAGAGATATATGTAAAAGACTTAAACCAAAACTTAAGATCGTTGAAAACAGCATCTTTTTGAGACCTTTTTTTTTAATTATTTAATATAAATATATACATATAAATTAATAATTTAAATATTAAATGACTTATATATTTTAAAATTGATCATAAGCAGACTTTTATGAGCTTTGCTTAGTCTGATGCTAACGATTATTTTATTATTTTATTATGGACTCTTATTTGAAATATTCTTCTCATATCACGATTAAAATATTAATTTTTGCTATTACGTCGGGATTAAATTGGAGCTCGGCATATAAACATTTCCATTTAACGCCCAGCTTGACATTTTCTTAAATTTTTAAGTGGACAATTTATTTAACTTGGATTTTATACATACTTTTTTTTAATTTAATCCCCTCAATAAGGATATTTCGTATGCCTTAGATACGAAACGAGGGTTCTTTTAATGTGGTTTGAGGGGCAACAGCTCAGGTTGCATTTACCTGTCAGAATTGTTTTTGTTTCATTTATTTATAGTTGCGTTTAACTCATTATGCGGGCTCTTTTATAGAGCTTTGGTGAATCGCACGATTTCGACGGCGACCAATTGCAAACGCATTCGAATTTGATTTGTTGGCAGCAGTTGGCAAGGCGCGTTGCCTTGGCCAACTGCTCGGCAAGCGTAAGATGCGATTAGTTGGCGCACAAGGTGTGGTGGCAGGCAGTAACCGACAGGTAGGCAGCCACCACCGCAATGGCTGAGAGTCAAGTGCTGGCGCCTCCTACAACGTCAACGTCACCACCATTCAAACAAACAAACACACACACACACACACACACGCACGCACGCAGAGCAGCTCACCTGTGTGTGACATGCGCACGCGAACAGGTAGAACTGTCTCCGTCTCCGTTCCACTCGGCGGCAGCTCGTAAGCCTGCCGTAAACCTGGTCAACCTGTTCGACTTTATGACTGAGTTATGGCCATTGTCAGTGGCAAATGGCAGCTTGTGGGTTTATTGATTGATTGTGCAGTTGGTTTTCCCCTACTTTTCTTTTCTTTTCTTCTCGCTTCATGCTTCGCTTTGTGGGCCATTACGAAAAGTTGTTGAACAATTCTCCTGAAATCAAATAAAATGCCGAACAGCCAATCAAAGTGTAAACAAAACATAAAACTGTCAGTGGGCGCAGCTCATCAACGCCCCGACTAAAGTGAAGGTGTTAACAAATGCAGCACGGCAAGAAAAACTCATTTCATATATCTTTTATTTGTTGCTGGAAATTGGAAATTTTTGTTAACTGGAACCGAAAATGAGCTACAAATTTATGGCGCAATATCATTATAGCCACTGCCCACGTATACGTCCATGTCTAGATCCACGTCTACGTCCACATCCACATCCACAACTCGAAGCTGTGACAATTAATAAGCACTGCTAAACATACGGATTAATTGCACATGTTCGCCGAGACTGACGAGCGCGGAGGGGAACCGCACTGCGTGGCAAATGCTAATGCGAGGGCAGTTCCTCGAGTTTTGTTGATCTATTATATGCCAGAAATTTAAAGCATATTTCTGTTTGATTCTAGCTAAAAGTCTAAATTGATTTTAAGAGATTTTCGGAAACTAGTTTTGTTTAGCAGATGGAATACACTCGGATATAACAACGATAAATACTTGTATCCGTGCATTACAAAAGGCTGCAAATTAACTCGTATAATTTTCCTAGACCAGATATATTCATAATGTTAATATATAGTGATAATACAATCTGTATGTTCATAGCTTTCAAAGAACTATTATCTCTATTTTTTATGATGCTTTAAAATTTAACCAAAACTCTTTTAAAGCTAAATTTTGGAAACATATTCTTTTTGGAATTTTGAAATCTTTATTTAATCTATGTTTTATTTCTTAATATTAAAAAATTTATTTAAATTTTGCTAAAGCGCGCTAAACAATTAACATTTTTTTAGAAAAAAAAAAAAAAAACATTTATTTAATATCTGAGAAACGACTCTCGTTGGCTGCTCGTGTGTTCGGGCCAAACAATAAATTATAATTTATGGGCATTTAAGTAGCGCCCTCTGCTTTTTCCTTCTTCTTCTTCTTCTTCTTCTTCTGCCGTGCAAAGTGGCAGCGACAACTTGTTGTTGTAGTTGTTGTTGTTGTAGATGGATCGCGGCTAAAAGCCACCGAAAAAGAGCGCAGCTAATCGATCGATCAGACAGCGCTGGGCACAGTGCACAGGTTGCCCCATAGAAGTGCGTAGATACATTTCAAACATGCTAAGTAGGTATTTGGAAGACACAGATACAAATGTATCTGGCTGGCGACGTGTGCGCTTTTTCCGGTTGTTTGTTGTTTGTCTGGGCCGCCTTTTGATGTCGCCGGGCAGCTGCGGCCGCGATGTGTATTAATCGCTGCTACATTGAAAACGCTGTTCGCTTCTCGCTGCCCGCTGCTCGCTGGCCGCTTCTCGCATGCGAAACTCGTTTGCTGCTGCTTTTGGGGCGTGTGTTTGTCGCGTTTCGAAATTGCCCCGAAATGTCATAAATCAAAAATGTTGGTATCCCCAAACGACGGGTCTAAAAACCTGTCTGTCGCTGTGTTATCACCTACACACAAATTATGTATTTGGTAACGCCCCCCACCACCCCCTCCTTAGGCTTTTAGACGCCCTGCCACAGCATTTAGTCTGCCTCGTGCAACACTAAATCAATGCTGAAAGCTGTGCTAATTTCTTGACGGCCAGGAATATACTTATATGATCACGATTCTGGTTTATTGGACTGTGTTTTTGTATAGCCTGATAACATAATTAGATACTCAAAGTGTATTTATAAATATTTTGTAACTTTTCCACTATTTTCATGCATTAAGGCTATATTCCTTTGACATATTCATCTTTCTATCTGCAATTAAAGCTCTCTTCCTGCACCTAAATATGTTATCGATAAGTGTACACACCACCAGATACATAAGTTATCGATAATAGGTAGTGTATTTTTGAATAATTTCTTTTCTTTTAGATCGGGAAACACAAAATGTTAATGTGCTTTTTATATTCTAGATGTCTGTCGAATCAAAATATCAAAAGCTATACCAAATATTACCTTTTTGTACAGACCCTAGAATACTTTAATTGAAATGATACAGATTTTTGAAAGGTCTACGAAACGTATTTTTAATAAAAATTAAATTAATTATAAAGAACTCCTAACATATTGTTGTATTTTATAAGAATCTTATCTGTATTTCTTATAGCATGATTCATTTAGAGCTGTTTTCTTTTTCTTGATTATATTTATCGGTTGAAATACAATTTAATCTTTCGATTTAAATCGATCTAACCTAGGTAGACAAGGTTCATTCATATCGATTGTAGTTTCCACAGCTTGTTTTCATTTATTTTTATTTATATTTTTCTGGTTATTTTTTCATTAGCTAAAGAAATCCTTGGGGCATATTTTCAACACATACTCCAGCCGAGCCAGCATTGGGCAACGTCGTAAAGTTCCTACATCATTTATCTCTAGTCAGGCTCCCGTCTCGGTGTGCTGCTAATTAATCATTTTGCTGCCGTCAGTGAATGTCAGTTTTATATGCTGGTGCTGTCGGTGCTGCCATTTATATTGCTACCGGCTCTCGGCCTATCTGATGGCGTCTCACGTTGACATACGCTCCTGGCTCCTGGCTCTCCTGGCCAGGAGTCTGTCCCGGTAATCGAAATTAAACAAACTTTTGCCCAAACTATTTGCAAGTGGCAGGCGCAGAATGATTAATTTGAACAGGCGCAGTTTATGCTCAAAAGACAACTTGTTTGTTTAAGCACAGACTCTACACTGATCGCATCTAAATAGGCGTCTCTGTGTGTGTGTGTGTGTGTGTGTGTCTAGTCGGTGGCAGCATTTTTGAGCAGCTGCCAAGTGCTGCTGCTCGCTGTGCAATATTGTAAAAATCGCTAAATAAATATA